TACAAAATCAAGAAAAATGCAAACGAGGATAAATGCCGCGACCGGGGTTCGAACCCACGACCCCAAAACTTGGAGGCTTACCGCGAAGACCGCTGTGCTATATGGGCTGCTTGGGGGGAGGATGGGTAAATAACTCCTCCAGACCTGCTCTAACTCAACGTGTTACAACGGAAAAACCAATCTAGCAATGTAGCGGTAATACCTACGAGTGAAAATTGAGCGAAATATACGTGGAATAGTGGTATTTTCTGCCCGCTTACGAATTTCTCTCCAGCGAAAAATTTAACAGAATTTAAGCACGATGAAATTCCGCGTGAACATTCGTCCTGAGTACTAGGCTTAAACTAAGAATTGGCGAATACGAAATTTATTACTTTATGCTCCCAAATTTCTCATGGGGCATCAAAATCTGTGTAAATTTATTATTCTCGAAATTACATAGAAATCGGGAATATTTTGGCTTCTTACTCTGACACTTTCTAACTACTCAAATTACTAATTCAACTAAAATCTGTGTATAAAATTTCGGAATTGGCTGGTATGAAAATTATAGAAATTTTAAAAGTATGAAAATTATTACTTTATGTCTCCGAATTTCGTACAAATCGAATCTGTAAAATCTTATTAAATAACACTACATAAAAATTGCGAATATCAGCTTCGAACTTAAGCACTTTTCAAATAACTTTACTAATTCCATCACAATCTGCCCTATCAAATTGCGAAATTGGAAATATGAAATTCATGAATTTATTCTGCAAATATTAATTGAAAATATTAAATTATGAAAATTATTACATCTTCCACTCAAATTATACCATCAAAATGCCAACCTGTTTGAAATTTTCGAAAATGGCGAATATCAAACCTCCGAAAATATTAATCTGATTTTTGTTTTGAAGATATGAAAATTATTACGTACGAGTAAATTATAACAAGGAAAAATAAAATATGTATAAATTTGTTACTCCTCTTACATAAAAATTTCGAAACTTTGAACTCTGACACTCTTTACTAGCTTGTCAAATTCCATCAAAATCTGTGTACACAAATTGCGGCACCACTTTCGTGGCAAAATTTGTGTGTGCGGATTGTGTTGGAATTTGTCAATTTGAGTAGCTAAATAGTACAATTTGATGCCAATATTGGCAATTTTTGTGTGTAATGGTATTTAGTAAATTTATATATAGATTTATTAAATATTAAATTTATTACTTATTTTATTAGTTTGAAAGCGAGGTAAAGTAAAAAGTTTCATACTTTTATATGTGCAGATTAATATTTGCATAATAAATTCATAGTTTTCATATTCGCCAATTTTGAAATTTTATACTCACCTTTTGCTGGAATTGGTAAAAAAAAGTGTCAAAGTTAGAAGCCTATACTGTATTTGTAGTTTTGATGTAATGAGATTAATAAGTTTATACAGATGCCCACTTCTGCAATGCCATTAGTTTTTGAGAGCATCAAGCAATGATTTTCATATTAAGGTGGCATTGTATGCGGGTTTTGAGTTTGAATTGTCGCGTCTCAACTTTCCCCTCTTCCATGTGTTCAAATGGGGATTTTGAAACCTATTCATCTCCGTGGGTTTTTACAATATGAAGATTTTAATGCACCTAAAAATCGGCAATTTTTAGGTTTACAAAATTACAAGGGCAGAATTTTGACTTTTTTTCAATGAGAAAATATTCAATTTTTACTTATTATTTTTGATCTATTTTGTATTTATTACGACGATGAAGAAGTTTCAAAATCAATTTGAATATACAGAAGGAAAGTTGAGACGCAACAATTCAATCTCAAAACCCGCATACAATGCCACATTAATATTTACATAATTTTCATAATCACCAATTTGGAAATTTTTGTACACATATTTTGATAGAATTCGTCAAATCGAGTGGTTAAAAAGTATCACAATTCGGACCCGATATATTTGAAATTTTTATTTAATGAGATAAAAAGTATTAATGTTTGTAATTTGGGAGCATAAAGTAATAATTTAAATATTTTTTGAAATAAATATATATTTGTGATTTTCATATATTCTCAAATTTCGGAATTTCATACGCCAGAATTAGTAAAGTAAGAGTTGAGTAGTTAAAACAAATTGTCACGGTTTGGACCCAACATTTGCAATTTTAATACAATTAGATAGATGCAGTTTTAGAGATTTCTGCCATCTGTAATTTCGCTATAACTAATTTGATGTAATAAAACGCTAATTTTCATATTTTATATTTTCAGATAAATATTTACATACTTTCATAATTTTCAACTAAACTATGACGAACCTAGTTGCAAAGTGTCACGCCAAACAAAAATATTGAAAATTTTCATGCGATTAAATTAATTAATTAGTTTTTCAGATTCATGAATTTGAACTCAAATAATTTGTAATCAAAGTATAACATTTTATATTCGCAGATTCATAGATATTTACAGGAAAGAAATTGATGACAAGTTGGCACTCAAAATGTCTCATCGAGAAGAAGATGCGTCCTAAATATGTACAATTAGTCAATCGTATCATCATCTTCACGAATATTCAGTTAATTAATTTAATCAATTAACTTCATCCTCATCTTCACCAATATTTCTTTAATTAAATTAACTAATTATAACGATAATCTTATTTATTTAATAAGAGTTCATCTCATGAATTTGCGTGTTGAACGGACAATTTTATACCAAATACGTATCATCTTGTGTACATATTTCTTTAATTGTATCGTGTACGTCAATAATAAACAAATTCAAATGTCAGTTATGCAAATCTGGTAATTTTTTCCCGAGAAGTCTGGAATCTTGGCATATATATTTTGTTAAATTACAACATCTGTGGTCTGGACTGGACGGTATATTATTAATTGATTAACATTTTACTTTACACCGCACGAGCCCCTCATTCAAAAAAATTTGTCGACATCATCATAAAAAACGAGGGCTCAAAATTCAAGGAGATATGATATATGTCATTTACACTGCTAATTTTTTGGCAATGTCAATGTCGTGTCGTCAATGACATGAAATGATGCTGGGTTTGCAGAGAAATTTTGCATAATATTTGCAAAGTAGAGTTACATAACATGATGTGAGACAGGGTTTATTTTTGTTGTCTGTCACACTTTGTGACGATGAGATGGAAAGGATTATTTTCTGGATGTGACGAGACTAAACTGTGACGAATTTTTTGTACGCAGATATTGCTGGATTTGTTTTCCATAATGAATATGGAAATTAATGGGAATTAATGGAATATGGAAATTAATATTTATATTAATCTAAGAACGATTAATAAGAGATGAGATCCCTCATTTGACTGTTGAAGATGACTAGTTTGAAATAATAGGGTAATAATTTTCATACTTTGAGATTAGTATTTACGCAGATAAGTTCATAATTTTCGACTAAACTATTATAAAATTTTATGTATTTGTGTAAATACGCAGATTTTCATGGAATTAGTAAAGTGAAGTAATTATAAATGTGTCACAGTTCGAAGCCAAATAAAAATATTCGCAATTTTATACAAATTTCTTTGTAAGTTTTACAGATTTTCTCTAACCCTGCTGTAATTTGAGAGCATTAAGTAATAATTTTCATATTTTCATATTTTCCATATTAGTATTTACAAAAAATCAGAATTTTGGACTAAACTAGGACGAATTAAATATTATTATGTGAATACGAAGATTTTCATTAAGTTAATAAAGTTGAACAGTTAAAAAGTGTCACAGTTCGATGACAATGTTGGACATTTTTGTATAGAGAGATCTGTAAATTTATATAAATCTTGACTTGCTCCATCATAATTTGATCATCACGAAATTTGTGTACGGAGATTTTGTTGAAAATAGTCAAGTTGAGTAGTTGAAAAGTTCCAATGTTCCAAGCATACCTGTTCAATTTCATTCATTTGACTGATAATGATAATGAATGATCCTGAATGAAAATGAATTTCCTGTGATTTGAATGAAAATGAGTGAAAGTTTCCGTCATTTCACATGAGTGACTGTGAATGAAAGGATTTCTCACTCATTTCATTTTCATCCTATGCTAAATACATGGGGCGAAGTAAGAAATGAAGTCAGATGAAGTGAATTTGAAAGAAAATGAATGAGTGTGAATAAAAATCTTCAGTCAGAAATCGGGATGACTAAACTTTGAATGAAAAAAGTTTTTTCTTAACAGGTATGGCTCCAAGCCAATTATAACAATTTTGGTATAAGAAGATTAATAAATTTCTACAGATTTTGATCTCCCAGTGGCACTATGAGAGCATATGCATGAAGTAATAATTTTCATATTTTTTAGATTAATATTTACATAAGAAATTCCCAATTTTCATATTCGCTAGTCTCGAAATTTTGTAGACATATTTAGTTTTAATTAGTAAAGTTGAGTTTTTTAAGAAGTGTAAAGCAGATATTTGAAATTTTGATAGAATAGTTCTAAACTTTTTTTTGCAGATTTGGGGTTTCCAGTTGAGAGCATACAAAGTACTAATTTTCATATTTTTATATTTGCAGATTAATGTTGTCATAAATTCATGTTTTTTTAAATCAAAATTTTACAGCTTTTATGCTCAGATTTTAATGGTATCAATAAAGTTAATTAAATTGAATTAAAAAGTATAATAATTCGAAGCCAATATATTTGAAATTGCTATGTAATGAGATTATTGAATTGATACAGAGATTTGAGATTACTGAATTGGTACAGATTTGTACCCTCCATGTTTGGATGCATAAAGTAATAATTTTCATATTTTAATATTTTCAGATTAATATTCATACAAAAGATTCATTCATATTTCGAAATTTAAGAAGCACATTTTGTTGGAATTAGTAAAGTTTGTGACGAATTATGCCTTCCCGACCGTAATTACGACACTTTATGCGTATCCCACGCGTTACCCAGGTTCTTACTGCAAATGATGAGATAACTTAACTATTTACTACTAAAATAAGCACGCAATACACCGCTGATACAAATACCAATGACAATTACGATTTATTGACTTCAACACGAAATCTGACCAGGCCTGCTTTAGCTACTGAGAACAATGACTTTTTGATAAGAACAATGAACACTTTAAACTGTTGAATGAAGATCAGATTTATTCACCATTGCGACCGGTTTCGAATAACTTCATCAGGCTATATGGTGAAAGATATGCAAATTTTATATTATAAATAAATTTAAGGGACAATTATAATTATTACCTATGGTGTAAATTAAATATACTCGAATTGTAAAGACATCTTTTCTTATAAAAAGCGATTAATTCCACTGTCACGCTAAAGAGATTAAATAAGTAAATAAATATTTATACATGTACATATACAAATATGCTGCTACTAAGTGCAAATTACCTGTTTCACAGTTTATGATTAATAGTTCAAATTTTGAAACAAAAACTACAAATACATTTATAAAATAACACTGAACAGTGTGGACAAGTATTAATAGTGGTGGTGGTGGGCAAGCTAAAAATCATTCGTAGCGTTTATGATTTACATAACTTAATTTGAGAACAGTACTTGTCCATGTATTACTTACAAATATCCTTAAGTGTATTGACTTTCTTATAACTACAAATCATATTCCATGAGTTCACAATATGCTTATATTTATCATTATTAGACTTGTTGGCTTCATTTCGTATAAAATCTATTGCTATTTTGGATAAATTTGATACAGCATTATAGTATGGCATTACAATATACTTCGTATTTATATCCTGAGTCTTGATCGTTTCTGTTTTGACCTTAAATTTCTGCAAAATGTCTGCATTATAAAGAGACAAGTTTTCAATTATGAGCTTTTTGTTGGGAGTAAGTAGTTCAAATCTGTCTAGTTGATAAAGTTTAGTTTTTGTATCTACTAACAAATTATTTGGGTAACAACGATTACGAAAATGGTTTAGCATAATTTCTATTTCATTATTTTTAGTATTATTATCTGTACATATTCTTACAATTCTCATTCCTTGACTAAATGGTAAAGATCGCAATAAATGTTTTGGTAGGTTGCTAAAATAGTGTGCATATAAGGGTTTAGCCATTGGTTTTTTGTATAACGACGTCTCGATTTTGTTTTCAGATGATAAAATTACATTTACATCTAAGAAATTTACAATTTCATCATGATAATTTAACGTAAATGTCAAAAAATCATGTTTGAAAGTTTCTTCGCACCAGGATTCAAAGTTGTGTATGTAAGTTGTACTAATAATCATAAAACCATCGTCCACAAAACGCGAGTGGAATTCAATTTCAGGTTTATCGTTAAATACCTTAAGGTGCGTTTATGCTTCACGTAATCGTCACGTTCTCCTCCAAATCCGATTTTTTGATTGGTTAAAATTTTTAATTGTCGTAGTGATAATTTAGTTCAGCCAATCAAAAAATCGGATTTGAAGGAGGACGTGACGATGACGTGAAGCATAAACACCACTTTATTTAGCTCACAATCTGCAGTTATGTTGGCTATGCTGACTGAGGCTGCATTTCCCATGGCGATGCCTTTTCGTTGTTTGTAGAATAGACGATAATATTCAATAAAATTATAGTCTAAACATAAATTTAGCATTAATTTAAAATCAGAACATGTAAAATTATATGGTAAATTGAGCGTTGGTTTATGTTCTAAAAAAGCTTCAAGGCAATATTTTTTACATAAAGTAATGTCTAGATTAGTGTACATACTATCAATATCATGGGTTAACAGTTTATATTTTGTATTTTTCGAGAGTCGTAAGTTTTCAACTAATAACAAGAAATGTCTGGTGTCGAGGATTAAATTGGAAATTTTATTCATAATCGGTTGAAGTATATAATCCACTAAACCTCTTATGTTTCTATTGTAGGAATAAACTGTACTCGTAATAGGTCTACCTGGTGGAATTACTATTACGTCGTACTTCTTGTGTATTTTAGGGAGAATGTAAAATTTGCAAGGTTTACTATTCATAATTATTAATTGATGTAATTCTGTCTCATTATCAAATTTAATTTTAAGGTATTTAATTTTGTCTTCAAATTCACTTACTTCGAATTCACTTACTTCGTTCGTAATGAGTCCTTGTTGATGGTTCATAAATTGTTTCTTCATTAAGATGCTTTAAAATTTCGTTTTTGTAATCGGATTCGAAAAGTACACAAATTCCAGCATTTTTGTCTGCGTTCTGTAAAACTAGATTATTATTTTTAATATAGTTCTTGAAATGTACAAGTGTCTCGTTAGGTATGAAAATATAATGTTTCTTTGATCTCATAACACGGTTTTTAAAATCATCAGAAATAAACTCGTTGGGAAATATTTCTGATTCAATGTCACAATGAACTTTATTTACTCGAGCTCTTTTCTTTGCATTGATACAAAAACGATCAAAACTGTTGAGAAGTTTCTTATTTCCTCTTTCTTCAAAGAATACTTGCCAACTTAATTTTCTTAAATTTTCAGCTAAACATGAATCAATTAATTTGAGGTTTGGTTTAACTGAATTGCAAAAATTTAAACCAAATGATACAATAAAATTAATGAAAATAGGTAAGTCTAAATTTGTAAAGTTGAATATGGGTGGTTTACTTTGTTTAAAGTATAAAAAGCTTTTAAATAGTTTGGAATGCTGAGATTTGCTCAATTTTGTGTTAAATTGTAAAATTTTTTGTAAGTTAATAAACTTGCGGGATTTGTTAATTTTAACTGGTTTATTTTTATTATATTTGCACTTAATAGCAGCTGGGTCTCATGTGAAGGGGGCATAGATTTTCGATGGGGAATGAAGAGTTGATAATTTTCCTGGATTTTGTGCAAGTTCCATGAAATTGGTTCGTGGGTGTTTGAAATAACTATTTTGTCTTTGACGCCCTCGTGCATATTGACCACCTCTCCTATTTGGTGGAATTTGTCCTCGAGATTGATTGTTATCTTGTTGAGGAGAGTTTTGTGTTGATTTAGCAGCATTAATGGGAATTCGACGAAATTTATTATTTTGTTGATATCTACCTTGATATCCTCGTGTACGTAAGTAATATCGATCATTTCTGGGTTTCTGGTTACCATAATATTGCATATCTTGGGGGTGGCGATTTGTTTCTTGACGAGATTCATTATTATTTCTTCCTTGTCGAAAAGTTGTGAAATCATTAGAAAACTCAATGCCATTGTTCTGAATGTGATTAACTATATTTTTTGAAAAGTGATTGGAGAGTTCTGGGGGAAGTTCATCCGGGTTTGCTTTCCTCCAGCTTGGTTCGGTATGTATAAGTTTTGTGTTGTATTGTGTCCAATCTATAATTGTTACCGAATGAGCTTTCGGAAATTCAATTTTTGAGCGATTATAAGTCACACCAATTATATATTCAATTGCATTTTTCCACAATACAATACAACGCTTAATTCCGCCTCAGCTGAGAATGTAAACAAACCTTCCCTTATCTGATATAATTTCCCCAAACAACGAGAAAACCCCCACTCTAATATACTACCTATCTGTATTGAGGGTGGACAACCAACCAACAACACATAACCAAGACCGGACAACCAGATCTCGTACTACTACTACTTACGCTACCGCTGCTGACTTGATGGTTGCAGGCTCCCTCGCTGCTTGGCAACCCTCGATCTGGTCACTCCGCACGACTCTCGTCGCAAGTTCCCCACTCTTGACTACTCTTTTGTAACACCCCGAGCCTAACTAATTACAACTTTACACATAAAATTACTTGCTATCCTACTAATTAACAATACAATATTTTTAGTACACTTTGCTATTACTATTTACTCACTAATTATGCATTAACATCCTTCAAAATGTAACTAGCACGCGCACACTGAGGCATCAATTTAAATACATATATCACACTCCCCCTCCCCCAAAGCAACGCATATAAATTGAATTACATTGAATAGTTTGCACATTAACCTAATTTACAATACACAAATAATATTCACATGTTCACTGAAAGTTGAGCGATTAAAAAAAGTCAAACTTCGAAGCCAATATTCGCAATTTTTATATAATTAGCTTAGTAAGTTTATATAGATATTGGGCTTTGGATTGATAAAGTAATAATTTTCATGTTTTATATTTTCTGATTAGTATTTTGGCAAATTTATAACTTTCGACTAAACTATGGCGAAATTTTGGAACATTTGTAAATACGCAGATTTAATGAAATTAGTTACAAAGTTCAAAGTCGAAGCGAATATTCGCAATATTTATGTAATTGAAATAATACAATTTTACAGATTTTTAAGTTCTTTGACATAATTTGAGAGGATAAAGTAATAATTTTCATATATTATATTTTCAGATTAGTATTTACCTACATGCGTAATTTTAGACTAACCTGTTGCGAAATTTGGATACATACACAGATTTTAATGGAATTAGCAAAACTGAAAAATTAAAGAATGTTCCAATTCGAAGCCGATATGGTCACAATTTTTATAATGAAATTAATAAATTCATACAGATTCTGACCCTCTATGTTTGTAATTTGGGAGCATAAAGTAAAATTTTAATATTTTTTGAAATCAATATAAATTCATAGTTATCAGATTCTACAATTTCGAAATTTTGGACGGCATAATTAGTAAAGTAAATTGAGTAGTTAAAACAATTGTCACGGTTCGTAGCCAACATTTGAAATTTTAATGAATTGAAACTACGTTCACATTAATTTTACAGGTTTCTTGCAGATATTACAGGTTTTACAGATTTGTAATTTCACAAAATCTAATAATTTGATATCATAAAATTCTAATTTTCACATTTTATATTTTCACATTAATATTTACGTAAATTCACAATTTTTAATTATACTGTGACAAAGTCTAGTTGAATAGTTGAAACGTGTCACGCCAAATAAAAATATTGGCAATTTTCATGCGATTAACTTAATAAATTTGTACAGATTCATTAATTTGAAGTAAAATAATTTGAAATCAAAACGTAATAATTTTCATATTTTATATTCCCAGCTTCATATATATTTACACAAATTCATAATTTTCATCTATTTAAACTAAGACGGAATTTTTGTGTAAATTCCCAGATTTCATGGAATTAGTGAAGTTGAATAAATAGTTAAAAAATGTGACACACTCCGAACCTAAAACAAATATTCGCAAGTTTTGTGTAAAGCGATTAATACAATTATATAGATTTTGTCTCTAGCTTACATAATTTCAGAACATAAACTAATAATAATTTTCATATTTTCAGATCAATATTTACATAACGTTCGTAATTTTTGACTAAACTAGGACTACATTTTGTACTTATACGGAAATTTCTTCTGGAATTATTAAAGTTGCGTAGTTCAATAGTGTCACAGTTCGAAGTCAATATTCGCAATTTTTATTATGCAATGAGATTCGAACAGCTGAACAGGTGATTCGAATCCGTAAATTCTAGGACAACCACAATTTGAAATCACAGAGTTCAAATGTTCATATTTTATACAGATGTATTTTCAGATTAGCATTTACATAAATTCATAATTTCCCACTAATCTAAATATGACGAGATGATTAATGCAGTTGTACAGATTTATCGTATTTCAAGATAACTAATTGGAAATCATAAATTCGCAAATTAATCATAAATTAATTTAAATTCTGCTAATTTGAATATATCATATTTTGAAATGAATATTTACGGAAATTCATAATTTTCGATTACACTACGACGCACATTCTGTGTGCGCAGATTTTACTAGAATTTTTAAAGTTGAATAGGTAAAGTCCTAAGCAGAATAAAAATATTCGCAAATTTTACGCAACGAAAGTAAAAAATATTTACAGATCGAATACTCTTACCTCAAGTAGTTTGAGATCATAGCGTAATAATTTTCAGATTCATATCAGCGTAAATTCATAATTTTCGACTAAAATATGACGAAATTTTATGGACATTTGTAAATACGCAGATTTTAATTTAATTGGTTGAGTTAATTCTTTAAAAACTGTTTCGTTCGAAGCGGATTAAACAGATTCTCAATTTTTATGGAACAAGATTAATTAATTCATATAGATCGATTAAGCTCATTACATCAGATCATAATGTAATAAGTTTCATATGTTCATATTCAGATTCATAAATAAATTTATAATTTTCAAATATTCACCAATTTTTTGAATTATATTAAATTAATTTTATTGAATGTTAACATTGGTATTAATCTCAAAATATATGTCAAAATATAAAAATTTGAAAATTATTACATGATGATCA